TACAATCTTTAAGTCATCAGCAAAGAGGTATGGGGTACCATGCTTGATTACGCTGCAGATATCGTTAATGTAGATTACGAAAAGCAATGGACCTAGTACACTACCCTGAATTACTCCACTTCGTATGGGTCTGGGTGACGAGTAATTATTTGCAAATTTCACAACTTGGGAACGATCTTCCAAGAAAGAAATGAGCCAGGATAATAAGGGGTCCTGGAACCCGTACGACTTTAGTATAAGGATTAGTCTCTTGTGTGGGACTTTATCAAAGGCTTTTTTGAAGTCAAAGAAGAGGGTTGTGACAAGCAAACCATGATCTCGCTTAGCAGTAACATCATCAAAGTAGTCAAGTAGGCAGGTGGAGCATGATCGACTTTTCAAGAAGCCGTGTTGTGCTGGAGTAAACAATTTGTCAAGGTGGAGGTATGAAGCAATATCTTGCCCTATAACTTTTTCCATAACCCTAGAAACTACTGACGTGATATTGATCGGTCGGTAGTTTTCGATATCAGAAGTTGGTCCTAGTTTGTGCCTAGGGGTTATAAACGACAGCTTCCAGCACTCTGGGTAACTGCCATTATTTAAGGACAGATTGAAAAACTTTAGGAGGATAATGGGTATGTCCTCACCACCTCTTTTCAACAAGATAGATGGAATTCCATCAGGTCCAGCTTTATATGATGTCCGGAGGGATGCTATAGCGGAGGGAATCTTTTGTTGGGTAAATGTTATATTACCCAAAAAGTGATATGGTATTATCGGAACATCAAGACTACCTACTGTTTCTTTGTTAGTAAAGTAGCTAGAAAAGTGAGAGCTGAATAACTCGCATATCTCCTGTGGGTCTTCGTATAGTTTTTCTCCATCTAGTAGTAAGTTAGGGATACTTATTCTGTTGTTGTTAATTCGTGACTTGATTAGTTTTACCAATACCTCTGTATTATCGGGCCGTGAAAGGAGGATGCGTTCTAGTTTGATGGACTCAGATAACTGATTACATTTGTATGAATCATAAGTTTGCTTGATTGTAATGAGTGATGAAAAGTCACTACATCTGTAGAATTGCCTAGCATGCTTACGCAGTCGGTTTCGAATCTTTACGGGGATGAAGTCAGGCTGTTTAGGCCTCGTTTTCACAAGTCTTGCTGGAGCGATGAAGTCATGTGCAAATCCTAGGTTCTCGTAGAGTAAGTTGTTTGCCTCTATAGCCGAGCTGCATGTAAAGTATGGTCCCCAGTCTAGGGTGCGTAGGTATGGTTTCAGGTCATCCCACTGAGCGTGTCTGTAACCCCTGAGTAATACTTTGTTGGCACTTATGGTCGCACTCAAGCTAGTGCAAATATTGAATGTACCTAATACTACTCTGTGGTCGCTACCAGGAAACTCTTTACCTACTCGAAGGGTAGTGGGGATGATACCATTAGTGAGAACTAAATCTGAAATCTTAGATAGCCTGGTAGGATGCTGTACGTGTTGTTGCCAGTCTTTTGTTTCTATTATGTTAAAAAATTCATGATACCGTTTCGGTGAGGAAAGTGGTTGCCAGACTACTTCAGGCATATTAAAGTCCCCACATATAATTTTAGCCGTGTGAGGTAGTGAAGTGGCGTAAGCGAAAGTGCTAGCAAGTTTCATATCACCTTCAACAGCTGAACATGGGGGATGATAGATGCAACCTATAAGATAGGAAATGGAGTGAGACAGCCTTAGAATAGCCCAGACTGAGTCATTATCTGTGATGAGCTCTGGGTAGAAGCACTGTGTGGCCTTAATATCAGACCTGATATACATAGCGCATCCTCCTCCTCTGCCATGGTTTCTGTCACCTCTGAATACGTAATAGTTATCAATAGAAATATCTTTATCGCATATCTGAGGAGTGCACCATGTTTCAGTAATCATTATAAGAGACGGGTTGCATATTAAGGATAATGTCGTGAAGTCAAACATTTTGTTAAGTAAGGAGCGAGCATTGATGACAGAATGAGAGAGAGAGAGAGTTAGGGGTGACGGTGAAATCGCATATATCTTTAAAACAGTTTTCCTCAAGGTCTGTAGCATCTAGAGCAGATTGTTTGATGGGTGCTAACTCAGATAGTGGCAACGTACTGGCAGTGCTGGAAAAGTGCACTACACCAGTATCAGCACAGAGAGATGTGCTATCGTTGGCTACCCCGGCGGGTGAGAGGTGTTCATAATACCGTGACTGAAATGCATCGCCCTCCCCTCCGGTGATAAGTGGCTTGACAGTATGTGTGCTATTTGCGTCAACATTGAGGCTGAAATTTCGTGTTGGCTGAGAAAATTTAGATTGGATGAAGGGGAGGTAGGTATTTCTTGTGGATAGTATGCTGGAGTAAAGTTACGCGCATCGCAGTTATGATTAATATTTTGTGTTCAAGTTATTTTCGTAAATATTAGTCCATCGATTATCTTGGGTGGACTGTATCCTGTGGTTGTCAGGGATGTGGTGAGTCAGAAGGCCGCTTTTAGGAAAGAAGCCTAACCCACTTGTTCCTTGTTGTAGGGGTCTCTGGATCAAACTTTTGTCTACATTAGCCATAGATAGGACAGTTGTGTCGGGGTAGGTGCATGCCTGTCCGTAGGGTTTCAACTTATTTTTAGGGTGCCCAGACATATAGCGTCTGTTTTGTCTATCGGATGAAGATTTGCTCGATGTTGGATGAATTCACGGGTTACCTCTCCTTTCATTGACGTTATATTTATGGTTGTATGAAGACTTATTCAGCTTCCCTCGGTTAATGGTGGGATTGGAGTCACTTAAGTTAGTGTTATTTGGTTTGCTGCTGAGTAACCTATCAGTGACGGGTTTGAGTGAAGGTATTCTGCATGGCAGGGTTATATTACTCCGTTTTGTGTGCACACTACTGTGACTGCTTCTCGGGGAGGTTATATTGAATGCTACATTCTCCAGCTTAGCCTTTTGCGTAGTGGTATTAGCAGCTGATGGTGATGTGTCTAGCGAGCATAACTCTAAAGATGCATCTAAGTCTATGGCCATATTTGCTTCACTGTTGAGTTTACTAGGTAAAGCTTTATTATTCAAGGGTATTTCTTTTTCACGCGTGTCTGTAACATTAGGTTTACTTAAATCTGGGGTGAGAGTCTTTTGTAGGACATTCTGCAGTTACGTATGTGTTTGCGACACTTGATACACTTGCGCGGCTACGTCTTTGACATGGAGTTCGGTCATGAGTAAGTTTAACGTTGCCATAATGTGTAGATGAACTAATTAGCTTGTTAGACGACTGGAATTTCCTAGCATCATTAAGACTACTGAATTTAAACAGCACAGGACAAGTATACTTTCCTGATTTTTTCCTGAGTCTGATTAGGTGGCAATCCGCTGATGGTATACCGAACGCTTGGAGACATGTCAATTTAATTTTGTCCAAAGGCGTCCGATCAGGCAGATTGTAGGCAAGAACATTGTACGAAGACAAGATTCGTTTAGTCACTTCATTGGCTATAAAGTCTAACATACGCTCAGCCTTCAGCAGACTTTCTGGATTACTATCATGAGTTGGGTTACATAGAAGCAGTAACGGCTTAATGGTGTTTATATTCTCATTTAATTCCTTCACAGAGTTTCCTAGAGAAATAAGGTCCAACTTATTTTGTTTAGCAGTTGCGTATACCTCTGATAACAAATCGGACACAATGACTTCGGGGACGTTGTTGAGGCTAGGTGGAACGTGTAGGGATGTACGTATCTTCTTAGCTGAGTGACCTAAACTATTCTTACGTGTAGAAAGTACTCGTTTATTACGATGAGTCACTGTTGAACACGGATCAGTATAGTTGGAAGTAGAAGCTGAGCTAAATAAATATATATATATATATATAAATATATCCAATATTTAGCTGTTCAAACATTACTAACTTGTAGACAATCTACTATTTGACATTGTATCATACTTGGTCGTGCCTGTAAAAATGGCATGCATTTTCATGTAAATTTATGTTTATATGAAAATATAAAATTATTATTATTAATATCTGCGACTCAGGTTAGGATACGCAGGATTGGGAAGGATGAAGTTACTAGCTCAATCTTTAGGTAGGGGGACAGAAAATGTTTACCCAAATACCAGCCTGTAAAACTCACCTGTATTTAAGCAGGGATTCTCGAAAAAGTCGTAAATGATCAGCTATTACCCCATATGGAAACACATGGTAGAACAGCATTGGTTCCGGCCAGGATTATCCTACCCAGTAAACTTACTGTTAGCTGGGGAAGGTTAGGTTGAAGCCAGGGATAAAAGTCAAATACTGGACATTGTTTTTATCGATCTTAGTAAAGCATTCGATAGTGTTCCGTTTAGGTCTCCTTATTAAACTTTGGCATATCTTGCTACTGCCTGTAAGTTGTGACTGAATTATATGGTTCTATTTCTGTAACAATTTGATGATGCCTGTAAACTGGCGTCCCTCATGTACTGTACTATGAGAATAAATTTATTTATTCATTTATTTGTGATTAAATTAGCCAGTGACATAATGCCTCGACTCTTCTTATAACAATCCATGCACTTCACTTACACTCCACAGCACATCAAAGCCTGTGCTTATCATATCATGTAATCCCCGCTCTATGAGGCTTAAGTATGCAACTGCCATTTCGTTCACAAAGCCAACTCAGAATGAGAGAACAGTGCCACACATTGTTTTCGAAACTTAGACCTCATATCAGAGATTAATACTACCAAAACTAACTGGTACAAAAACCATACAGTGAAACTTCAGCTTCTTCATGACCGTCTGTTTAGAAAAATGAGCCTACGCACCATCATAAATGAAAATATTGAGAGACTTGAGCATAGAATATCGAACAGTCTTGACATTAAGTGCAATAATTTGACTTGTTTAATGTGTCACCCTCTAGACTAAAAATATTGGAATTTTAAAAGCTGCAACCTAAATCTGATAACTAATGTGCACAGAACTTAATTACTTTGATGCTGTCAATTTCCCCTAACGCTTATTGGACCCCTTTAATGTCTGTGACTTAGAAGTTGAGGTAAACAAAACTAGTATTTATTTACGCGCTCCGGCATATTTGTGTAGTCCCAACCATGGCACCGCAACTAGGTTATTGGAAAATAAAGGGCGTAAGTTTCTTCTCTTCGTTTGCACTTCTGACAAACGTTTACTGCATGTTTATATATCAGCCGTTTTCCTTCATGAAACATTTTAAACACCTACTTGGGTAATAGTGACTGTAACGTGTTGTCGAAATATCTTTATATCATGTCTTGGAATCATTCCTGTTCCTGTTGGTTCTTGAGATAGTGTAGTGCAGTTAGCTCCTCGCATATTTGTTGGTGAGGCTTTCCGGTTGGAGGCGACTGCGAGTTGTCTTTGAAGTCAGTGTAAATAATTCATTCTGACGCATTATAGTGCCAGACAAAACTATGAAGTTTGCGAAGCATGATAAGTTTTGTGATCTTAGGTCTTCAACAGTGCAGATTAGTGATCTGTCAGTCTGAGTTCATTTGTACTAAATCTCTTGCGGGATATTTCGACTACCAGCACCTAGTAGGGGCGGCTCTCCTCGATTTGCTTACGTACACCTATCTGTTGCTGATACCGAGTTTTTTCAGTGACTAGGCTTGATACGGACTGTCAAATTATAGTTTGGTTTGATGAAGTTAAATGTAGTATGACGATACTGCTTATGCCATAGGGAGGTAATTTGACCATTGTAGGATTGTCACTCAGCATTGAGAAGACGAATGTTCTTCAAGATATGAATTTCCTTTTCAGAACCCCAGTCAAATTATCCCTACTTGTGGGAGTGGGTTGCGTACCAAAGTAGGCCACCGTACTAAACGTAACGCAGTTGAGTGGTGCAAGGGTTGATAGGAATCCAAGCATAAAATATATTCACAAATACAGTTAGCACATTACTATATCCTCTGGTCTATTGTCAATCAGAATTTCCACTAAAGGGAGCAGGTTGACCGATAACTGATTACTGATCACATTGCTTACTCCACAGATTTTGACCAGACTCTACCATTGACAAACAGCATGTACCATCTTGTGAATAGTCCTAGTAAACAATGACTGTTTCTGTCCAAACAGTTGACTTATTAACTGGAACTCAACTTTAATTTCCATTCTTGCATGCAAAACCATTAAATTACGTTTCATTTGTCGTTAAGCTCGTGCAATCAACCCGGCTTCTTTTGGAATACCTTGGCGATGAATACGAAGAACGTTTATATGGTCGCGATGACGGAGAGAAGTGGCAGAAAGATAAATTTAGTCTGGGTCTGGAATTTCCTAATGTAAGTTGTGAACTTTCGTAACAACCTATTTGTTGCAGCTTCCATATTATATTGACGGTGATGTTAAACTGACTCAATCTCAAGCTATCATACGCTACATAGCTGACAAGCACAATATGTGTAAGTTCAGAGTGTTCTTACATTTTCTCAGTGGGTAGTTCTCCGGAAGAACGTGCGCAAATATCGATGCTTGAAGGAGCCGTAATGGATATTAGATTTGGTGTTTCAAGAATTGCCTACAATAAAGAATATGTAAGTTGAATTTCGATGTAGTTTACTTCAAGGAAACTCTCAAAGTCGACTTTCTTAACAAACTTCCTGGAATGCTGAAGATGTTTGAGGACCGTTTGTCGAATAGAAATTATCTAAACGGAAGTTCTGTAAGTTTCTGGATCCCACTTATCTTTTGATGTTCCTGTAATCAGTTTCTCATTCTCTCACATTCTTTTTTTGAATAACTCACCTTTCGTGTTGTTGGTTTCGAATCTTGGAGTGATTATGCCCTCATTAGTAGATTTTTCTAAACCTATAGGAGGCACATAATATAAATATTTATGCATACATACACTCATATGTCTTCCTCAATCTGCCTTGTGACCGTGTCTATTTTTTTGCAGATAACTCATCCTGACTTTATGTTGTACGATGCTCTTGATGTGGTTTTATACATGGATAAGAGTTGCCTGGATAAGTTCCCAAGGCTAGTGGAGTTTAAAAAACGTATTGAGGTAAGTTTTTGATGCAAGTTTTCCATCAGTTTAAAAATTCCCATGTTTAGAATACATACAACAAGTCGAGCAAAGAAACAGATTTCTCTTCAGTTAGTTCCTCAGCAGTCGCTGCACACCAATATGTGGCTTTACCTTAAAATTTTACCAATCATATGGTGATGTTTGCCAGTACAAAATGTCAGTCTTGGAGTGTAAAATTTGTACGAGTTAGCAGCAAATTATTGTGTGGTCAGTGATTTGTAAAATAGTGATTACCCAGAAGAATAAGTGAATGAATGCCTAAGATTGCCAGGATACAAAAAAGTTAGTTGGATTAGCTAGGAAATTAGTAACAATAAAATAACAATGGCAAGTGACAGCTACAAAGACAGGAGAAACATTTGTAAGACTCAACACGTATTGTGTGGATGGCCACTATAATTGATATTAGTGTGAAATTATGTACTAGCGTAGGACTGTTGATGAGGAACTAACTGGGAAGAAGTATGTTCCGTTCAATTTGCTCTTACTAAACATGTGTTTTGGCAAATTTTCACTGGTTTCCTTATTTTTATTTAGAATTTGCCCAAGATTAAAGCCTATATGGAGTCGGACAGATACATCAATTGGCCCCTTCAAGGTTGGTCGGCTACGTTTGGTGGCGGAGATGCCCCGCCGAAGTAGATGTGGTAAACTTCTTGAAGTTGCAAGTGAATACATTGTTAACTGATATTTCCCACTTGTGTAATACGCAGTATCGACAAGATTCTGTCACTATATTCATTTTTCTAATAAAATGTCACTAAATAAAATCTGCATACATTTGTAAAATTCTATTCTTTCTTCAAATAATGATATGTGATATTATATATATGCATGCAGTATTACCTAAGTATCATGAGATGAACTACGAAATTACATGGAAAGAAACGAAACTTTAATGAGGGTAGGAAAGCGAACATAAGATCTTAAACTGTGTCCATTGTTTCGTCATAGTACGGGAAGGAAAGTTGTCATGATCCATAGCGCGCCTTTAGATGTTAGTCTAGGACAAGTATCTACAATACCACTCGATGATAAACCTGACTGTTCCCAACAGTCTGAAAACTGGCCATCGATAAGTAGTGCGGAAGCTTGTGGGAAAGTATTCTTCACATGTCAAAACTATTGTAAAAGGTCTCTGACTTGGCCGAACAACGGTCACGGGGTAGCGTCCTTACGGCATGCAAACAATTATGTGAACTCAGTAATGAACGAAACTACGTAATCTCTGGCGGGACTTTGGCTTCTCCATTCTTTGTGGTTTTTCTAGGCTCGAAAACCTGAATTGCTTCACCTTTATGCAAAGTTTTGTGTTAACGATCCAGTCAACTATCGATGAATCTTACAATTCTCTCCTTCGACTGTCAAATTGGCGTTCTGATGGGGTTAGAGGATACTTAAACTGTCGTAGTCTGCTTGTGTGTCTTAAATGTGCAATTCAAATATTTTCCAACCACACACAATAACCGATGAAGTACTTCCAGTAGTTCGCTTTTGAAGGTCAGGTTAATTATAGCTTATGACACTAGTAACAAGTGATTATATCGCATCCTACATGGAGTGATTTTGAAATCATAAGCTTTTCAGCCAGCCTCTAACATAACGTCGACAGCAATGTTGTCCAAAGGAATAGATGGCAATAGTCATATCAAGAAAGATAACTGCTGTCACTGAGCGTTTATGTTTGACAGTGTTGTAATAGACGTGTGGAAGGTGAACATGGTTTGTGTATCTATGAAAAAACTGGTTACAAAGAATTGTTCTTCATATCGTACAAAGTGTAGCAGAGACCACTAGTTTTTTTGATCTGGTGTCGCAGTTGGCCTGTTATGCATCAGGTAGTAGTCATTTCGAAACAATAGAATGTGGTTATTCTCTCATCATCCAGCACAACACTGAGCACTTAGATTTATGACCGCACATTGCTAACCACGAGTCCTATTTTCGCAAATCGCATGATCTCTAGATTGTGTAATTGGGAAAAGTTAGTCCTGGAAATATGACTGCAGCTACAATGAAATGTGGGTAGAACGACTAGGCAGCCTGGTTTACTAACGTATAGGCTAGCTATGCATGAAGTACTAACAGTTTCACTATGAGAGACTCCAGATGGTAACTGATGTTGCTATCTAATCCTGTTTTCAATTCTTACCGTTTCCCGCTGTCACTTTCCACTTTGGTGTTGTAGGGAGTAATTTTTTTATTACAGCTTGATTCCACACTATTTTTGGTACAGGTATGGAATTTTCAGCGTGTGATATCGGTAGCCCAAATTTTGCAGGCCGATCATAGATTTCAGGTGTGAGTCGGCAGGGGATCGAATCCCGGACCATATGCATGGTTGGCGAGAGTCCTAACCACTGTGCCGCCGACGCATCCTACATTGGTAGTATTATTGTCACACAGTACAATTTATTTTTCGGCATATAGTAAACGTAATGAATTTCATGGGTTGTTGTACCGTTGTAATTTCTCTTAAGAAATGACCTAATTACGACGAAGCATTCATAGCAAGTATTTAAAAGTGAGTCATCATTATCGCCAAAGCATTGTAAATCCGACCTTCCAAAACCACACTGATGTCGTGATGGCGCTAGAGGTGGGTCATTTAGTGTATGCCACCCTGGTTTTCACTATGAGGACAGAGATCTCACCTGTCACAATGCCAGCGCTCACACAACTACTTACTTACGAAAACTTATCCAGTACTTCTAATGGTTCACCTACTACGCTGAGTGCAGGTATAGACACTTGACAATCCTGCACTAAGCAATTACCATATTTAAAGACACTGACTGTCAACTGATTAAGTGCGCTTTCTGCAGACTGTATGTTACAACACAGTAAGACGATGTCATATGCATGCCCAAGGTGGGAAGTCTTTCTGCAGGCACAAGATGCACAACATTACTCACATCCTTCAGGACTGGCAAAGTTAGACATAAATGTAGAGATTGTAGCGGTAAATAACTCCCCGAAATTATTAGTCACAGCATTCACCCAGTGAACGTTGGATGCTGACCCTCACTGTTTTAATCGACTTGTTTCGCTGAAGGCTTCCGGTCAAGCATCCTTGCCATTTGGTACTCCGTCGTGTCACGTTCGTTCGTTTGTGCACGGTTCCCAGCTAGTTAAGCAATCATCTCGCACTCCGATTTGGTCCCAAAATATAATTCGTAATTTGGACGATCAATTCTGGTGCTTTGCTTTGCCTTTGGTCTATGGGGAACGAATACTATAGAAGTTGTAGGTATTAGATCTTGCGTTAGTATACTTCGTACTATCCGTGAACTTCAATACCGTCAGTCTCTAAAAGATTGAGTAACCCTGTTAGAACTATCTCTTAGATGAGAATAAAGTTGGTAGTTGGTTGTACGCTTTCACTTAAACTGGGGTGTTTCTGTATAAAGCTTTCAGAATGTTAACAAACTTTGCGGAAACACCTCCCCTACAGAAAATCCCAGATGGCACTCATGTCTAACAATTCTAATGACGTCTGAATATTAAGAAATACGATTTCGGTCCGTAACACGTATATTATTGTTCTGGCATCCGGTGAAGAGTGAACGCGTGATCAATACACCAGCTACGTAGACAAAACTCAAACTTCTCTTCGTGAATAGGTTTCTCACATGTTTTACACACCCTGTAGAGGAAAATGGCAACCAATACTATCTGACACCCCTGGTAATTTACTAATACTACAATAGTTGTCACATGCGTTAAGTAGGCCCTCTTTAAGGATGGATAAGATAATAGTTTCACTCCATATTGATGGGACATTCTCACTTTCCCATACATTCTTAAACATTTCAGTTAGTTTCTTGATTAGAATCTCACCAGTGTCTCTAAAGAAATCTGGAAGTAAGTTATCGCATCCGGGCGCCTTATGGTACTTGAATACTTGGAGTTACTTTCGGATCCCCACTTCGTTGTTGGGTCGGTACTAACAGACAATGAAGCAGTGTGGTTGGTAAGGTTAGATGCTGGCACTTTTGTTAATCCAAACTGTTTCATAGTGACGACCCCAGCGTTTTAATTATTATTATTATTATCTTACCTGGTGGACTGTAAAATAAACACTGCTACAGAAACTTCAAGCCACAGGCTTGAAGCCCTATGTTCCACTGTGGTACGTGAAGGAAAAAAAACCTGGTGGACTGTGACATCCAGCAGGATACCCCATTGGATTGACAGTCGACTTTAGAAACCTGCCAACCTATGAGCTGTCTAAATACTTAGCAGACATATTATGTTCCATTAGAAGTCGCTCAATTTCTAGACTAAATAATTTTTATGAAATGAAAGAGATATTCAAGCCGAAAAGCGTGTTTAATATTGATTTGACAAGATTATACACTGACATCCAGATAAATGCTGCTCTGGAAGCAGTCAGTAACGAGCTGGAAATCGATCTTGATCTGACTGATGGAATTAAGTTATTGGTTGATCAAATAATGTTAGTTCTTCAGCTATGACTTCTACAGTCTTTAAATTTGAAGATAAAATACACAAACAAACAAATGGAATGGTGATGGGATCACCAAAACCACCGTGAGAAGCTGATATATTTATGGATAGTTAGGAATGTAACGTTCTTGCGGCGTTTAATCCCACTCCTACAACATGATGGAAATATGTGGAAGATGCATTCACAATGGTGAGATCTGAACACATCTCTAATTTCTCCATACACACATAAACTCATTTGTAGACGTAATCCAGTTAACCTTCGCGTCAGAAAAACTTCAGGGAGAATTAGATATGCTCGATGACAAAATTAAATATAAACTACATAGAAGTTCAGAAACTAGCATTTACAACAAACCATTACATTCTAATAGATACTTAGGCTTCGAGTCATCCCACTCTAAATCCGTAAATGTGAGTTCAATCAAATACTTATACAACTGAACCGGCAGTCTGACCAGTGAGTCAGAAAATGTAACTAAAGAAATCAGCAAAATATTTATACTGAATAATTATCCACCTGAATTCATTCAAAAGCTTATTGAGATCAATAAGAAAAATAGAGGCAGTAACGTAAATAATATAAATAAAGATTTCAGAACCCCTATGGGGCTACCATTTAAGCAGAGAATATTATAGGCCCTACATAGGATTCTAAATAAGGATGGGATTAGAGTGACATTTCAACTAATCAAATTATCAAGAGATACAATTTGTTGATGCAGGGATCTAATGAACCCAATCAGGTGAGAAGATGAAAGTTTATGGGTAATTGTGAAGCCAGCTAGAAAAAATTTCAGATAACAGAATGAAGTTCCATGTTCCACTCAGAACCCAAGGGAATAATAATAATGATATGCAATGACAATGAGGTCAATTACATAGGTCAAACTAGTAGATTGGGGTCAGTTGAATTATCATAGCATAGGAGTTTCTGGTTGACGTCGCCAAGTTTAATAATTTCGAAAAAAGCTAGACCACCGCTATGCATTCACTTACATGTAATCACACAATAGAGTAGTGCGTAAGGGTAAAAGTATTGAAAAGTAATATATCTAGGTTGAAAGACAGGTTAATCAATGAATCTTTGTTCATGCAGTCAATACCAAACAGTAATAACGCAACACCTATCTCGGTTAAATGAAAAACTACATTTAAAAACAAAAAGGGATCAAAAAAAGTATAAAGCAAGTTAGGAAGTCGCTTGAATAAATCGTGTTCGGAAAGTAATCCACTTATTAATACTGTGTCCAAATGTCTTATGTGAATTAAACTTATCTATTATGATATTTCATAACATCACACATTGGGTTTAGCTC